TAGACTAGACTATAGACTAGACTATAGACTAGACTATAGACTAGACTATAGACTAGACTATAGACTAGACTATAGACTAGACTATAGACTAGACTATAGACTAGACTATAGACTAGACTATAGACTAGACTATAGACTTGACTATAGACTAGACTATAGACTAGACTATAGACTAGACTATAGACTAGACTATAGACTAGACTATAGACTAGACTATAGACTAGACTATAGACTAGACTATAGACTAGACTATCTAGACTATAGACTAGACTATAGACTAGACTATAGACTAGACTATAGACTAGACTATAGACTAGACTATAGACTAGACTATAGACTAGACTATAGACTAGACTATAGACTAGACTATAGACTAGACTATAGACTAGACTATAGACTAGACTATAGACTAGACTATAGACTAGACTAGACTATAGACTAGACTAGACTATAGACTAGACTATAGACTAGACTATAGACTAGACTAGACTATAGACTAGACTATAGACTAGACTATAGACTAGACTAGACTATAGACTAGACTATAGACTAGACTATAGACTAGACTATAGACTAGACTATAGACTAGACTATAGACTAGACTATAGACTAGACTATAGTCTAGACTATAGACTAGACTATAGACTAGACTATAGACTAGACTAGACTAGACTATAGTCTAGACTATAGACTAGACTATAGACTAGACTATAGTCTAGACTATAGACTAGACTATAGACTAGACTATAGACTAGACTATAGACTAGACTATAGACTAGACTATAGACTAGACTATAGACTAGACTATAGACTAGACTATAGACTAGACTATAGACTAGACTATAGACTAGACTATAGACTAGACTATAGACTAGACTATAGACTAGACTATAGACTAGACTATAGACTAGACTATAGACTAGACTAGACTATAGACTAGACTAGACTATAGACTAGACTATAGACTAGACTATAGACTAGACTATAGACTAGACTATAGACTAGACGATAGACTAGACCTATAGACTATACTATAACGAACTATAGACTATATAGACGAGACTATAGACAGACTATAGACAGACTAATAGACGACTATAGAGGACTAGACTATAGAACGAGACTATAGACTAGACTATAGACTAGATTATAGACTAGACTAAGACTAGACTATATCCTAGGGCTATATCCTAGACTATAACCCTAGACTATACCCTAGGATATACCCTAGACTACAGGCGACATCAAACTTTTCTTATGTGTAGAATATCTAAAAATCTTCTTTGATCTATCTTGTAACCCACTGTGCTGTTAAAGAAAGTGGTGTAACAGCCGTATATATCGGTTGTCTGTATGAATTTGTCTGCGTCTTTTTTCTACACTTTAATCATATTTAGGGTTACTAATCGTTTATGAATGGCAAACGATTTGTTCGTCTTATATTTCGTTTTTTGCTTGACAAAGATTTAAAATCATACTTATGTTGAAAGAATTCTAAAGAAATTTCTAATAAAAAAGAACAACAGCTTAAATAACAAAATAAAGAAAAAAACACAAAAATTTAAAAAGCACAGTAAATCTATTAATTTTTCTTTAAAATTGAAATAAGAAGTAGATAAAACATACATATAGCAGAATTTAGAGAAACATTAATTCATATAAATACTGGCAGAGGCAGACATTTTTGAATTATTTTTTTTTAATATTTCGATGGAATAAAAAAGCATAACTGTTAAAGGTTAAAGTTTTACTAAAATAAAATTTAGGCTTGAAGTGTTAAAACCGAGATTTTGGACTTTAGATCAAGTGTTCGGCATGAACATATGCCTAAAGTTATTTTTGAATTTCTTTACTTTTCGCTTTATTCCCCCTGATTTTGTATATTTTCACAAATGTTTCTTGTCATAATTTTTAATATTTGTGACATTAAACATTAACATTAATATTTTAATAATACCTCAAGCTTAAATTTCACCTCCTGTCTTAAGTAATTATGTATATTAGTGTCTCTTAAACGTTTTAATGATAGAACGGAGAAACTTCTTAAAATATTTGGAAGAATGATGATGTTTAAAAAAAAAATATCATTAATTATTGACGCTTAAATTTAAGAACTTTACACAAGGTCAGAGCTACTTAATTACACGCAGTAAAAACAATATAATTTGGAAAAACCCTAATTTGAGAATATTAAGTTTTGTGATGAATAAAGCCCATAACAGAAATATTTTTCTTATTTGCACAATTTCTTCTTTAAAAAAAGAAGAACATATATTGATGATTATTTAAGTAATTAGTTAAAAGTTATCTTTAAATAGAAATTTTTTAAAAAAATATTAGAAAATATACCAAAAATTCTCTTTAAGAGAAATTATTGAAAATATTTCCAAAATAGAGAAATTATGAAAAATTCTCTTAAACTATATAATTTATCGAAACTTGTCGCAAAGCAATAAAAACCCACACACATCCAAACATACGTTTTTTTCAGTAAGCAAAGTTGTTGTTGCTTCTTTATCAAAGAAAGCAAAAAATTGTCTTTTTCGATGAAATTTTCAGAAGTTGTCTCTGATTTTTGCTCATATCTCCTTTATTTATAGGTGGATTTTGCTGATTTTATGAATAGGGAACTTCTTGAAAGCATGTCTGAAAGAATTGTTGAAGATTTGCATCTTGAAGATATAAGGGGTTTTCAGAAATTTGATTTGGAACACAGACGGACAGACAGACAAACAGACAGTCAGACAGACAGTCAGTCAGACAGACAGACAGACAGACAGACAGTCAGACATACAGACACACAGACAGAAAGACGGTCATGGCTTAATCGACTTCGCTATCTCTAAGGATCCAGTATATATATATAATTCATAGGGTCGTAAAATTGTATTGTGGAATTAACAAACGGAATGACAATAACTTTATATACCGTCCTCGCGGTCCCCCCGGGGCATGTTTCCTTGATGAAAGACCCTCATCTTGGTGTACCAGTACCACTAGTCTGCCGGGACTATAAACTGGAGATGTCATTTCACTCCTCTGCTAGTCCTTGGAATGATTTGACATGGGGTCCAACTAGAGAACCATATAATCTGGTCAGATACCCCACAGAGGAGTTACTGTGGAACTAAGCGTTGGAAAATAGTATATAAAAAGTTGGTGATGATACAGGATGAATGTAGGGGTAGAAGGAACTCATCCGCCCATATACCTAGAATGAGTCTGTCGTATGTTGTTCTCTTATGAATGTGTCGGATAAATGAGAAGGGTGGTGGGTTGAATGGTAATGGATAATAACAAGTGAAACCATTGAATTCTCCTTCCTTGTCCAGGTATGTTCAGAGTAAACTCTGTTCAGATTTACCACAGTGTATCACTGTGAGTAAGAACAAAGTCTCGACTAATTTGATGGATTCATACTTCAATCTACCAGTTGCGTTTTTAAGTGCTGTTGCCGACTCAGCAGAGGCCATCCCATCTGCATGGTTGTAAACGGAAGTGATATTTTGTATCTCGGAAGTAAAGCATCGGGGCTGCTATAGTCACGGATTAGATAGCTCAAGAACTTGAGCACAGTGTACGTATACTGGACCGGAAATTCCATATACATAAATTGACAACTGCGTGTAAGAAGCACAATGGGGAGGTGGCGATTTGTCACAAAAGCTCAACCAGTGGTTTAAAAAGACCACCGTGAAATAAGCCAATACGCCAGGTGTTCACTTAAAGCACTTCGACATTAATTAATACCCTCCTCACGAAGCTTCGCGAAGGGTATAAAAATAAGAAAGTTCTCTCTAAATGTTAAATTTAAAAAAAAAACTTTCTTTAAATCAGCTAGAACGATCGTAACAAAACTCTTTGCGCATTCCTGCCTTAAATCAGTTATCGGTAGAGAATAAAAAAATAGGTCTCTTGTTCTTAGCGTACCTCTGCTTTAAATAGTGCCTTCATAAAAATTTATCAATTAGAAGAGATTTTAAGGACTCTCTAAATATAGAGAGAGAGAAAAATCTTCAAAAATGCTCTGGTAACAGAAAAATTTGAACAAAATATTTTTAAATAAAGAATTTATCAATTATCATCTCCCTCTTTCTCTCCCTCTCTCTCTCTCTCTCGATCTCTAAATATGTTCAAGGATTCTTCCTCAATAGTTTATATCTCATAAACTTTCTGCTCTTCTAATAACCGGAGCTTCGAGAACAACTAAGGCGCTATTTGTTAATTAGAACTGGAAATGTATACTGCTGTTAGATTAACTTATGTTCCAGTATCGTTAGGATTGTTTAAATCCGATTACATATCTCTACAGAGACTTCACTTCCCTACAGAGTCTTCTTTTGGGGTTAAAATCTCTTTTAGACTCGATGATGATTATGGTATTCCTCATCGATTAAAAGAAAACTTCAAATTGGTAAAATAGAGATATTATAATTCTCACTAAGAGCTCTCTTGTACTCTTTCTTTCGCTTGTACATATGCTCACACATGCATAAAAACCTATAATCGGCAAAGAGCTTTTTCTCTCTCTTAATTTCAAATGCATGTAAGCTTACACATGTATAACGATAAAACCACTAAGGGAATTATTTTTTACTAGGGTTTTACAGATCACAGTTAAGCTGTTTATTGGCAGTCATTACTGGTCATTGTATATTGGGAAACTATGCAAGACACATCGGTATTCCATATAATGAGTTTTGTAGGAGTTGTCAAAATGATGAAAGACTTTTCTGTGTGAAGACTATTCTTCTCTAGACTTAGCTTAGGGCATATTTTTCTAATATATCTGATCAATTCATTTAAACAATCTTACAATTTATTGACGTATTAATCACGTTACTTGTCAATTATCATCTCTACTTACTTCTCTCATTCTTTGTTTTACTCTTTCACTTTTTTGTTGAAATATCTCTTTGAAGTAGAAGATCTCTGGAAAAGAGAACTTACTGAAAACTTTCTTTAAATATAGAATTTTTCACCAACTTTTACTGTTTTTTATAAAATAACTTCTTTTTCTCACATATATTTTGTATAAAAAAAGGGGTTCCTTAAAAATTAACTTAAAATTTAATTATAATAAATATTAAATACTATTTTATCGCCAATAATATACACAATAAGCTTTTGAAAACACTTCATTCATCTTCCGCATATGACTCCAGAGCAGCTGAATGCTCTAGTTTATATTTCACCAAATACTTCTTAAATGCCTGAGCACTATCAAAACTTTTCAAAGGATATTTGCCAAAACGACCATTAGTCTTTGATAGCACATAGTAGACAGGATAGGCTCCCGGAGCCACATGAACACGCATAGTTTTCGATAATAGATTACCCGCTAAATCCTCTTGATTATAGAGAAAATGTAATTGTTTCTTTTTGGGTTGATGTTTAGGTTTTAGCGTTTTTTCGGCACTGGGTAATAAAGAAAAACCTCTAATAATGGGCGTGTCACTTAGAGCAGCTGATGGCATATTTTCTTTTTGTGGCTTAGAACGACGCATATTGGTATATTTTCGTTTGTTTATTGGCTTGAGGGATTGTATATTGTATAGCGAAGAGTCTTCATTTAAAGCATTAGGATCTTCTTTAATGGGTGGCAAATCCAAAGGATTAACACGTATCACTTTCTTAGTATCCTTTTCCACTTTATCGGGTATCACATCATCTTTGATTAGCAACAATTTGGCTATATCCGCTTGTACTCCAGCTTCAGCAATTGGTTCGGCTTTAGCTTCTGCCACGGGGTTTGCCCTTGTCAGGTGATTTTCTAGCAAAATCGCCACCACCAACAAAAACTGCAATTTTTATACATAAAATAATCATTAATCATTACTTTAATCAGTTTAATTAAAAACTTTGTATTAACACATAACATATTATATTAAAATTAAATTAATTAACTAGGAGTTTTTTTGGGTTCTTAAACAATTTTAAAATTTAATATGATCTCACTCACCCATAACTTATGACAGCTTAACATAATTTGTTATTATTCTTTAGCAAATTTGTAAAATAATTAAATTTTTGTTTAACAAAAATATTTATTTACACCTTCACTTATTTGTTCTTATTTGGTATAATTATTTGTTGTATTTCGTTTAGAATTTTATTTAACCAACTTTATTTCAAATCTAACTACCTACATCTATAGTGAAATGTTGACGACTGATCGGCTTGTAAGCTATTGTATTAAGTTTTATGCGGCGTCTACAACATCTCTCAACACCGCATCTCAATATTTACGTATTTACGGACTTTTTTGCTGCTGCTGATGACAAATAAACATTTCGGTTTTTTACTTCTTTAGAAAAAAACACATTTTTCTACACATTATTTTCTACGTTCTTTACGAATGTGGAGTTTTTTGCAAAAAAAAAGAACATTTATTTTTTATTTTTTGTGTTTATTGTTATTTGTGTATATTTTTGTATTTTTTTATAATTTTTTTTGTTGTAGCTTAACACCCAATAGAAATTATTAGTAAAACATGTCAAAAGAAAATAATAATTATACACAGACTGAAGGACGGACGGACGTATTGACTGACTAAAACAATACAACAACAGTAAATAAAAAACCAAATATTAAAAATAATAAATAATAAAAAAAACTTAATAAATGTTAAAAAAAAGTTTTGAAATTTGATGTTAACAGAAGTTCTCTAATGGTAGAGAGAAGTACGGTGGGATAAGAACAGCTACAAGTATCAAAATAATTGTTTTATGCTTATTATTTATATAGATAAGAAAGTCATAGGTGTTTAGCCTTCAGACTCTATCAAACACGATATTAATGCTTTAAAAAAATAACTCTTTTTTTATACCCTACACTGCTACAGTGAGTAGTGACAACCTAATTTAATGACTTTAATGCATGTCAACCGAAGTTCTAAGTAAAACTTTAATCAAATTGATAATTTAATTAAATTTTCAAAATTTTTTATTAACTTTGGCCTATATAGTCCGCACAAAATTTGTTAATCAACTTAATCACAAGATAGTTCTAAGTACACATGTTAGCATTAGGGGGGTGCCATTAAAATAAAATTAAATTTTTATCGATTTATAATTGACTAACTTCTTATAGCTGTAAGCTATCCTATACCATCCCTACACTAATCAAAGAATATTACACGTAATCGTAAATCGAATATAAGTCACTATACTAAGAGAAGTACAAATTTTTCATCAGACTTTGGAAACCCATCACAACACAAAAAAGAAACATTTTATTATACCCTACACTACTATAGTGGGGAGGGTTTTATGCGTTTGTGCTGATGTTTGAACAACCCAAAAATTTTGGTACCATACACACCTTAGTATACCAAATATACCAACCGGCTACGAATCACTTTTTGAGTTGATGTCCGTCCTTCTGACTATCTATCTGTATGTCCATGTAAACCTTGAGCACACACTACAGGTCAGAATTTTCGTGATAATTCGATGACCCAAGGAGGAAGCCTATAGAAAATGGTTAAAATCAGTCCATTATTTCGCTTAGCCCCCATACAACCGTAACCCTCGAATAGGGCTTTTGAGCTCATAATTAATGCTGTAGTATCTCAACAAAAATCGGCACAACCTGTTTTTTTAGTTAGTTAGTTAGTTAGTTAGTTAGTTGTTAGTTAGTTCGTTAGTTAGTTGTAGTTAGTTTTTAGTTAGTTAGTTAGTTAGTAGTTAGTTAGTTAGTGTTAGTGTTAGTTCGTTAGTTAGTTAGTTTGTTAGTTTTTCGTTCGTTTTCGTTAGTTTTAGTTCGTTAGTTAGTTCGTTAGTTAGTTGTTCGTTCGTTAGTTAGTTAGTTAGTTAGTTCTTTCGTTCGTTTAGGTTCGTTCGTTCGTTCGTTCGTTCGTTTTTCTTTCGTTCGTTCGTTCGTTAGTTCGTTCGTTAGTTAGTTCGTTTCGTTCGTTTCGTTTCGTTTCGTTCGTTCGTTCGTTCGTTCGTTCTTTCGTTCGTTCGTTCGTTCGTTCGTTCGTCGTTCGTTCGTTCGTTCGTTCGTTCGTTCTTCGTTCGTTCGTTCGTCGTTCGTTCGTTCGTTCGTTGTTCGTTCTTCGTTCGTTCGTTCGTTCGTTCGTTCGTTCGTTCGTTCGTTCGCTTTCGTTCGTCGTTCGTTCGTTTCGTTCGTTCGTTCGTTCTTCGTTCGTTCGTTCGTCGTTCGTTCGTTCGTTCTTCGTTCGTTCGTTCGTTCGTTCGTTCGTTCGTTCGTTCGTTTCGTTCGTTCGTTCGTTCGTTCGTTCGCGTTCGTTCGTTCGTTCGTTCGTTCGTTCGTTAGTTCGTTCGTTCGTTCGTTCGTTCTTCGTTCTTTCGTTCGTTCGTTCGTTCTTCGTTCGTTCGTTCGTTCGTTCGTTCTTCGTTCGTTCGTTCGTTCGTTCGTTCGTTCTTTCGTTCGTTCGTTTTTCGTTCGTTCTTCGTTCTTCGTTCGTTCGTTCGTCGTTCGTTCGTTTCGTTCGTTCGTTCGTTTCGTTCGTTCGTTCGTTCGTTCGTTCGTTCTCGTTCCCCTTCGTTTTCTCTGGTCGGCCCCGCCGTGCTGTGCCGTTCTTCCCCTTTTTCCCTTCGTCCCGCCTTTTCTTTTCTTTTCCTTCCCTCTTCCCTGCCTTTCCTTCCGCATCTTTTCCTCGCCTTCTCCTTCCCCCTCCCCCCTCCTCCTCCTTCTCCCGCTCCCTCCCTGTCTTCTTTCCTTCCTCCGCCTCCTTCCTCTCCTCCCTTCCGTTCTTTCTTCGCTTTTCTCCCCCGCCATCCCTCCCTCCCCAATTGTTGCGGGCGTCTGTTTTCAATCTCAGATCAAAAGAATATATTTTTTTAATAAATTAAAAACGAAATAAACTTATGATTACCTCATAACTAACGTTTTATTTCGCATTTTTTTCTACTAACAACAAACTGGGAATTAAAGCTGGGATTACAATCAATAAGGTCGCCACCATGTCAAAAGCTTTACAACTATCATGAATATCATTGAATGAACGGAAGACCTGGCAAATGTTTAAGATACAAACAACAAGTTCTAACTCTTGTTAGAAGTAGTTAAAGCGTCAAGCTGTATAAAACTATTTTAACACAAAATAAATTTATATCTTCTTACAATGAATAGAAAAAAAAAAAACAATTTAAATTCTCATAAATTAATGAAATGAAACAATAAAATAAAACAAGTACATGAACAAAAGTAATTTTTTGTTATAAAAATAATTTATAAAAATAAAATCAACAACAAATAAACATAAAAGATACAAAATCTACGTTTATTTTTTATAATTATCGTTATTATAATTACTTAAATTTGTACAGGGGGTTGCTAGAAATTTTATAACACTTTCTATAATAAAATAGACTATAAAATAGACTATAGACTAGACTATAAAATAGACTATAGACTAGACTATAGACTAGACTATAGACTAGACTATAAATAGACTATAGACTAGACTATAGACTAGACTATAGACTAGACTATAGACTAGACTATAGGCTAGACTATAGACTAGACTATAGACTAGACTATAGACTAGACTATAGACTAGACTATAGACTAGACTATAGACTAGACTATAGACTAGACTACAGACTAGACTAGAGACTAGACTATAGACTAGACTATAGACTAGACTATAGACTAGACTATAGACTAGACTATAGACTAGACTATAGACTAGACTATAGACTAGACTATAGACTAGACTATAGACTAGACTATAGACTAGACAATAGACTAGACTATAGACTAGACTATAGACTAGACTATAGACTAGACTATAGACTAGACTATAGACTAGACTGTAGACTAGACTATAGACTAGACTATAGACTAGACTATAGACTAGACTATAGACTAGACTATAGACTAGACTATAGACTAGACTATAGACTAGACTATAGACTAGACTATAGACTAGACTATAGACTAGCCTATAGACTAGACTATAGACTAGACTATAGACTAGACTATAGACTAGACTATAGACTAGCCTATAGACTAGCCTATAGACTAGACTATAGACTAGACTATAGACTAACTATAGACTAGCCTATAGACTAGACTTAGACTACACTATAGACTAAACTATAGACTAGACTATAGACTAGACTATAGACTACACTACTAGACTATAGACTAGACTATAGACTAGACTATAGACTAGACTATAGACTAGAACTATAGACTAGACTATAGACTAGACTATAGACTAGACTATAGACTAGACTATAGACTAAGACTATAGACTAGACTATAGACTAGACTATAGACTAGACTATAGACTAGACTATAGACTAGACTATAGACTAGACTATAGACTAGACTATAGACTAGACTTAGACAGACTATAGACTAGACGATAGACTAGACTATAGACTAGACTATAGACTAGACATTAGACTAGACTATAGACTAGACTTTACTATAGACTAGACTATAGACTAGACTATAGACTAGACTATAGACTAGACTATAGACTAGACTATAGACTAGACTATAGACTAGACTAAGACTAGACTATAGACTAGACTATAGACTAGACTATAGACTAGACTATAGACTAGACTATAGACTAGACTATAGACTAGACTATAGACTAGACTATAGACTAGACTATAGACTAGACTATAGACTAGACTATAGACTAGACTATAGACTAGACTATAGACTAGACTATAGACTAGACTATAGACTAGACTATAGACAGACTATAGACTATAGAGACTAGACTATAGACTAGACTATAGACTAGACTAGACTATAGACTAGACTATAGACTAGACTATAGACTAGACTATAGACTAGACTATAGACTAGACTATACAGACTATAGACTACTATAGACTAGACTATAGACTAGACTATAGACTAGACTATAGAAATTTTGTGAAATTCTGCTTGTTTCTTTTAATTTCGATTGCCGTTTCCCTTGACCGTTTTCCCTTAACCAGCTGTAAATCATTGCTACTTTTGCTGCTTTACAAAACAAATCTTCTTTCTTGGCTCTTGCGTTTCATTTCATTTCAAATTAACCATTTTTTTGTCTTAATAAGCAGTAAAATAAATACGTAAATGAAAGAAAGAATAAAATAATGATAAAATAAAAATTCTCTTGAAATTCGTATGACTTATTGTTGAAACATTCTTCCAAGTGGAATTTGTTGTTGTTTTTAGTTTTGCTTAATTTAGCAAAACGCACAATAGAAATCCCCACGATTAAAAAAAAAAATCATAAAATACAACAAATTTGCATAATTAATCTTTTGTTTGGCTAAAACCATAAAGAAGCTTTGTTTTAAGCCCCAGTGTCGGCTACTTGTTCTTGTTGTTTTTTATGAAATTGTGGTCAAATGCTTCCCCTAAACGGAGCTTTTTGAAAATAATGATGATTCAGAAACTAATCTAATGATGATATTAAATGTTTTATTAATATGAAATTGTTAAATTTGTTTTAGAAAAATATTTCAATTTAACGAAAAAAAAACAGGTTGTTAAAACGTATTTGTTTTCATTATTAATTTATATTTTGTTAAATTCTTGTTTAAAACAAATTCATTATGTTCTTGACCCAAATATTAAAATAAAATTTAAATTCAGAAATTATTTTATAGAACGTAACGGCAGCGCGTTGTCTGTTCTATATTTGGTTGACTATTTTTTTATTGACTTTCTTTGAAAATTATACGAAAAATGTGTGTTTTTATTAAAAGTTATTGTTATTGTTGAGTTTAGAAACAAGTTTATTGACTCTGATTTTTTTTTATATTTTTTAATTTATTTTTAAACAAAACATTTTGCTATGTTTCCACAATCATTAGTATTTTAATTAACCACAAATTTTTGAGTATGAATTAAAGTTTGAACTCAATCATAAATCTTGTTGTATTTATTGGCAGTAGATACACACGTTTCTTGGCTAAAACACAGACAATAATTAATTTAACAACTTAATTATTATAAAAATTGTACGTTTGAAGAAAAACAAGTTAAGACACGAGTAATCATGATTTTAGACAAATTTGTTTAATGTTTTATTTTTAAGTATAATTTATATTGTTCTCCCATTATAATCTATTTTTAACTTAATTCATTATTATTATAATAATTTTGGGCTCAACTTTAGTAATCAATTAATTTATAGTCTATAGACTAGTCTATAGTCTAGTCTATAGTCTAGTCTATAGTCTAGTCTATAGTCTAGTCTATAGTCTAGTCTATAGTCTAGTCTATAGTCTAGTCTATAGTCTAGTCTATAGTCTAGTCTATAGTCTAGTCTATAGTCTAGTCTATAGTCTAGTCTATAGTCTAGTCTATAGTCTAGTCTATAGTCTAGTCTATAGTCTAGTCTCTAGTCTAGTCTATAGTCTAGTCTATAGTCTAGTCTATAGTCTAGTCTATAGTCTAGTCTCTAGTCTAGTCTATAGTCTAGTCTATAGTCTAGTCTATAGTCTAGTCTATAGTCTAGTCTATAGTCCTAGTCTCTAGTCTAGTCTATAGTCTAGTCTATAGTCTAGTCTATAGTCTAGTCTATAGTCTAGTCTATAGTCTAGTCTATAGTCTAGTCTATAGTCTAGTCTATAGTCTAGTCTATAGTCTAGTCTATAGTCTAGTCTAGTCTAGTCTATAGTCTAGTCTATAGTCCTAGTCTATAGCTAGTCTAGTCTAGTCTATAGTCTAGTCTATAGTCTAGTCTATAGTCTAGTCTATAGTCTAGTCTATAGTCTAGTCTATAGTCTAGTCTATAGTCTAGTCTATAGTCTAGTCTATAGTCTAGTCTATAGTCTAGTCTATAGTCTAGTCTATAGTCTAGTCTATAGTCTAGTCTATAGTCTAGTCTATAGTCTAGTCTATAGTCCTAGTCTATAGTCTAGTCTATAGTCTAGTCTATAGTCTAGTCTATAGTCTAGTCTATAGTCTAGTCTATAGTCTAGTCTATAGTCTAGTCTATAGTCTAGTCTATAGTCTAGTCTATAGTCTAGTCTATAGTCTAGTCTATAGTCTAGTCTATAGTCTAGTCTATAGTCTAGTCTATAGTCTAGTCTATAGTCTAGGTCTATAGTCTAGTCTATAGTCTAGTCTTAGTCTAGTCTATAGTCTAGTCTATAGTCTAGTCTATAGTCTAGTCGATAGTCTAGTCTATAGTCTAGTCTATAGTCTAGTCTATAGTCTAGTCTATAGTCTAGTCTATAGTCTAGTCTATAGTCTAGTCTATAGTCTAGTCTATAGTCTAGTCTATAGTCTAGTCTATAGTCTAGTCTATAGTCTAGTCTATAGTCTAGTCTATAGTCTAGTCTATAGTCTAGTCTACAGTCTAGTCTATAGTCTAGTCTATAGTCTAGTCTATAGTCTAGTCTATAGTCTAGTCTATAGTCCTAGTCTTAGTCTAGTCTATAGTCTAGTCTATAGTCTAGTCTATAGTCTAGTGTATAGTCTTGTCTATAGTCTAGTCTATAGTTAGTCTATAGTCTAGTCTATAGTCTAGTCTATAGTCTAGTGTATAGTCTTGTCTATAGTCGAGTCTATAGTTTAGTCTATAGTCTAGTCTATAGTCTAGTCTATAGTCTAGTCTATAGTCTAGTCTATAGTCTTGTCTATAGTCTTGTCTATAGTCTAGTATATAGTCTAGTCTATAGTCTAGTCTATAGTCTAGTCTATAGTCTAGTCTATAGTCTTGTCTATAGTCTAGTCTATAGTCTAGTCTATAGTCTAGTCTATAGTCTAGTCTATAGTCTAGTCTATAGTCTAGTCTATAGTCTAGTCTATAGTCTAGTCTATAGTCTAGTCTATAGTCTAGTCTATAGTCTAGTCTATAGTCTAGTCTATAGTCTAGTCTATAGTCTAGTCTATAGTCTAGTCTATAGTCTAGTCTATAGTCTAGTCTATAGTCTAGTCTATAGTCTAGTCTATAGTCTAGTCTATAGTCTAGTCTATAGTCTAGTCTATAGTCTAGTCTATAGTCTAGTCTATAGTCTAGTCTATAGTCTAGTCTATAGTCTAGTCTATAGTCTAGTCTAGTTACTAAGTCTTATGTTTTAACTTTCACTTTTCAAGACCTAGAAAATTCAGAATAACTTCTTTTAACAAAATATAACATGCAAAACCCTGTCGTAACTTGATAGCTGATATTACAATGACTAATACCTTTAATAGATTAGCTTAAACCTGTTTAAATAACACGCTTAATAGACCACACTTAATCTATTGTTTACTTTTATTTTATAATCAATACAATAAAACTAAATTAGAATTTTATTTCACCTAAATATTTTTGCATAAATAAACATAAAAATGTTAATGTGACTATTTATGGTTTAACGATAATTATGATCGTAAATTGTCATTAGATGAACTGATTTCTAAATCGCACCCATTTTATGGAACATAAAAGTAAAGAAATTTTAAAAATTCCGCCTAATAAATTAAGTTGTTTTCCTCCAATTTGTTAAGTTTACACTTTCTCCGTTATATAGTTTTTTAGCTTTAGCCCTTTTAAGGTTAAACATTATCATTTAAAGTTTTTAATTTAAATATTTTTGTTAAAATTAATATTTCTTTATTTTATTATAAAAAATGTAGGTAGCACTTTATCACAGCACTCTTTTATTTAATTTAAACTTATTTATATACATTTAATTTAAATATATTTTAAATATTTATGTTTTAAATAATAATAAGTTATATTCAAGTTTATCTTTGCGCCTCCTCTAGTAAATAAATTTTTCTATCCTGAAATTTACCATTAGCATTACCGGGCATGTAATAGACCGGATAGGCTCCTTCAGCAAAATTCAATGCCATGCCCTTTATACTGCCTATGGCGATTTCACCTTCTTTGATATTGGCTCTGGGTACTATGTCCATTTTATCGGGTACATAAACTCTTTGCATTTTACCTCTAGAGTCTTTGAGTAGATGTGTGGAGTAGGGTTCATAGGGTATTACTATTGTACTGATGGGTGAGTCTTCGTAGTTCTTTTTGAGAGGTAGGGCTAATATCGTAACCGATAAGGAGATTGAGAAGGTTATAAAAAGGCACTGGAAGTAGAACAGAATAAAAAATTTAAATAAATAAATTTTGTTTTAAAAATATTGTTTTAAATGAATATATACGATTTAATAGAAATCTAAAGTATCAAAAATTTAGTTATAGAAAAAAAATTGAATAACAGGATGATGTTCCTCAGACGACCCATCACCGCCTCTTTTGTGGCTTGCAAAGATCACTCTAGTATTAATCATGTTGCACAGTCCATTCGCAAACACATAACTAAGGCGTCTGTTGATTCGATAACAAAATCTATTTGGTAGTCCGTACTACGATATCCATCAATAAAATCAGTCTCGCTTCCTTATATGTTGGGTATACAATGGTCTGTATAATAAAAAAGTTAAATTTATCGATAAGACAAGGACTAAAAACCATACATCCATCACCATTCAACTGATCACACCAACCAACCATCAACATATGGCCCCATAGTCACAACATCTTAGGGGACTCCTTTAGTCAGTAATAGCTAATGAAACTTATTCCGAAATCAATACTTTAACCAACATTCATTTCCCTCGATTTGATCTTCAACTACAATCACAGCATGCATCTCGAAGGGTCCACTCACAAAGCGACCACTCAAGCACCTTGTAGGAAAAACTGTAATAAGATAAGTCCTGCGGATAACTGTTATCCTTGAGACAATTTCTCTGGTCAGATCGTGTAAGAAATAGCACCCCTACGCCTAAAAGAGATCAATCCAATAGAACAAGTCTTGTGGGCTACCGGGTTCTCCGATCGCTAGACAGGCAGACTATAGGTACTATTAGCTTCTCTCTGCGGGAGTTGGCATTCGAAGGTTCCACTCACAAAGCGACCACTCAAGCATCTGAAGGAAAAAATGTAATAAGATAAGACCTGCGGATAACTGTTACCCTTGATACCAGATGGGTAAATTTCTCTGGTCAGATCGAGTAAGAAATAGCACCCCTACACCTAAAAGAGATCGATCCAACAGAACAAGTCTTGTGGGCTACCGGGTTCTCCGATCGTTGGACTTTAAACTGATTCACTAGGTTTATGGTCCCGGAAGATCAGAAGAGTAGTAGCTTCTCTCTACGGGAGATGGCAATAAGATCAAGGAAAGAGCATTTCAGTTGTAGTAAATTATAGTCCATGGAAGTATATAGAGTGCATTTTCCCCCAACCACCATATTGGTTAGGGTATTATGTGTTTGTAGTGATGTTTGTAATGCATACAAATATTGGTCCTACAATCACCTTAAAGTATACCAATCGACTCAGAATCACTGTCTGATATGTCCAGTCGTCCGACTGGCTGGCTGTCCATGTACCTTGTCAAGATATTTTAATGAAATGCGGACCATATGTTTTCTTGTTCCAATGATGAAGCCTATTGAAAATTACTTCACATAGTGTTCATACCACCAGACCTTCCGATTTGGGCTATTAAGCTCATAACCAAGACAAATATACTAGCATCTTTTCAGAAATCGGCATAACTAAGTTTTATATAAGTAAAAATTACTCTGCCGATTCCCCATAGAAACTACCCTTCAGAAAATGTCTTAAATGTCCATAACCATTGTTATCGCGATGGAATTTAGCATAACTTTTATATAAAACTGAAACCTCCACCAAAGTTTATAAGGATCAGGCCATATTTGACACTTAATCCTTAAATATATCGGAATTAAGATAAAATTTAACTTTTTTTATAAAAACTTTTGTAGGGTCAAGCATGGTTGACCATATTTATATCCAACTTGTATTCATAATATAGCTTGTTTTATCAATGTCGTTCGTTGTTCCGTGTGTTAATGAAAGGATGGTTAGTTCCAGAGAATAGGTTTAAAACATTAGACTTTTAGCCTATATTGTCTTCCCGCGTTTTGAGTTTAACCACAACTACTATGTGCACCCCAAAGGGTCCTGTCCATTAAGCAGAGGAGGACAAGTAATATAATATAGTTTGTTTTATCAATGTTGGTCCGTCTGTTAAGGAAATGATGGTTGGTTCCAGAGAATAGGTTTAAATTTCATGAGGCATTAGACTTTTAGCCAACATTGGCTTCCGGCGATTTAAGTTTAATTACAACCAGTATGTGCACCCCTAAGGTTCCTGTCCATTAAGCAGATGAGGACAAGTCCACCGGGCAACTGTTTCCCGTGTTACCAGATATGTTAAGTTCGCCGATCATTCTTTCTTCAAACATTGGGATATATGTATAATTGTATTACTATTTGTAGATCATTCCTAATTTTTTTTGGTAAATATTTATGATCTTTTAGGCGTTCTGAAGGTCCACTATCTTAAATAGTGGACCGACTCTAAAAGACTTAGTTTATGGACCAATATCTCTAGTTGCTTTGGCTATGTTCATGCTTCAGTAGACGGAAGCAAGTATATGGTTACAGGAAAGACATTGAAAATTTCCCAAAATGTTCTCTGATGATTAGAAATTTTTGTTATTTATCGAAGGGTCCATCAGTATGGGGGCTAAGGGTTCGATTTCCAACATAAACCCCAAAATATTTTTCATAACAAAAGAGGTTTCATTCCAAAAAAACATTGGTTCTTGGCTTGTTTTTAAGAAATTATATCCTTTTATTTCGAGCTTTCCGGAGACTTTAAAAAGGACTATAGATCCTAAGACCCTTTGAATTTAAATAGTTCCTTTTTAATTTAATAAAATTTTTAAAAAAACTTTTCTTTGCTGCATTTATTTCAACTGGTTTTTTATACTTTTTTGTACATCACACAATTTTGTTTAAAAATTTTGTCTCTTAAGACCTTATTCACTGCCACAGATATTACGCTGTCTGTCATTTTAATTTATTACTGAGGTTTTGTCTTTAAGATCATTAAAATTTCTTTTGTATACTTTTTAACAGTCTTTTAAACATTTGATTAATATTTAAATATTTTTGTTAAATTTTTATTCTTTACCACTTTCATGTTTTGTTTATTATTAAAAACACTGGAATCCTTTTTTTTATCAAATACTTAAGGCGCCGAGTTTTTTACCGAATTAAAATATTATTATTATTTTTAAATGTTTCGTCTAATCTTTTGCTATTTACAACGTTTCTTTATCGCGTACTTGTCGTACTAAAGTTTTTTTCAAATTTCAATAAAGTTTTATAGAAATCGCTTTGAGTTGAGGTGTTATGATGGTGAGACGATGATGCTGATGATGATGATGATGATGCCTGTAAGTCTCTCAGTAACGACTGCGATTTTTCGTTTTAAAAGAAAACAATTTAAATAAATTTATAAATATGTATATATAAGTCTTTAACCATATTTGGCATATGATTATTTAAGAAAAAAAAAATATAACGTCTTTGGTAGCAAAAAAAAAAAATATTTTATAAATGATGGAAGCTACTTCAATGTTGGGGGCAAAAGCATCAAGAAAACGAAATAAACGTTGAAAACTTTGATGTTTTTAGCAGTTTTGTTTTTTTTCGACATCATCTTCAGTTTAAAACAATAGACCTGGCTGAAACTTTATGCTGCTTGATTACTTTGACTCTAGGGGTTATAACTTTTAACAGCAGCAGTAGTGGTAGTAGTAGTTATAGTGGTAGTGATAGTTATATTCACTATAGCTTGCCTCTATTGCTACACTGGTGGCTTATCTGTCTGTCTGTCCGTCCGTCTGTCCGTCTGTCTGTCCGTCTGTCTGTCTGTCTGTCTGTCTGTCTGTCTGTCTGTCGTCACATCATCTCTCTAAATGCTGTCGATGACTGCCTCTGCTGATGTTGATCGATGACTTTTGTATTGTTTTATCAGTTTTAATATAAAATAATATTTCAAACTGGGGTGTGTTTATAGATTTAAGTTTTTTTTTCTCAACTTTACTGTCTTTGTTTTAGATTTTTTTTCTTGCTAAATACAGGTTCAAATGTTTTAATTTAAACAAAAAAAAAACTCAAATAATCAAATGTATCTGTTGTTTTTAAAATACATATTTACAACAATTTATATGTAAGCAAAAAAAAAAAAAAACAAATAAATAAAAATAAATAACGTCAAACATATTAAACCAGCATTAGGAATTCAATTTTATCTAACATCAGTTGCAAAAAAAAAAAAACAATTTTGAAATTTCCATCAAAATTTACTCTTTTTATATGTATTATGTATTTGTTGAAATTAACAATTATTGCATAAGTTTGTGTCATTGTATACATTTATTTATTTGTTTTTTTAATTTATATTTTATCTATTTTAATAATCTTGCAAGTAAAGCAATATATAAAAAAATAAATTAAAATATTGTTAAATATTTTAAATTGTTGTTCAACTCTATCGACAGTAGTTTCTAGACTTACTTACCATACTGCTGAAATTTTCTTCTGGTCCAAACGACTTTTACTTTTGTTCCCTTAATTAGCATCAATTGCAGATTATTAAAAGTAAATAAAAAACATGTAAGAAATTAAAGTTGGATAAGGTCGACATTATAACACACTACAGCCAAATTGTAAACTAAAGCACATATATTTAGAAGACCATAGACTAGACTATAGACAAAAATAAAGACCAGAATATAGACTACACTTTAAACTAGACTATCGAGTAAAGTATGGACTAGACCATATATCAGACTTTAGGCTTCACTATAGAGTCGACAATCGACTAAAGTATAGACTTGACTATAAATAAGACTATAGATTAGTCTATAGACTAGACAATGGACAAGATTATAGAACAGACTATAAACTAGACTATAGAGCAGGCAGTAGACTAAAATATAGACTAGACTAAAAACTAGACTAAATACTAGACTATAGAATAGACTATAGACTAGACTAGACTAGACTATAGACTAGACTATAGACTAGATTATCGACTAGATTATCGACTAGACTATAGACTAGACTATAGACTAGACTATAGACTAGACTATAGACTAGACTATAGACTAGACTATAGACTAGACTATAGACTAGACTATAGACTAGACTATAGACTAGACTATAGACTAGACTATAGACTAGACTATAGACTAGACTATAGACTAGACTATAGACTACACTATAGACTAGACTATAGACTAGACTATAGACTAGACTATAGACTACACTATAGACTAGACTATAGACTACACTATAGACTAGACTATAGACTAGACTATATACTAGACTATAGACTAGACTATAGACTAGACTATAGACTAGACTATAGACTAGACTATAGACTAGACTATAGACTAGACTATAGACTAGACTATAGACTAGACTATAGACTAGACTATAGACTAGACTATAGACTAGACTATAGACTAGACTATAGACTAGACTATAGACTAGACTATAGACTAGACTATAGACTAGACTATAGACTAGACTATAGACTAGACTATAGACTAGACTATAGACTAGACTATAGACTAGACTATAGACTAGACTATAGACTAGACTATAGACTAGACTATAGACTAGACTATAGACTAGACTATAGACTAGACTATAGACTAGACTATAGACTAGACTATAGACTAGACTATAGACTAGACTATAGACTAGACTATAGACTAGACTATAGAGACTAGCTATAGACTAGACTATAGACTAGACTATAGACTAGACTATAGACTAGACTATAGACTAGACTATAGACTAGACTATAGACTAGACTATAGACTAGACTAGAGCTAGACGATAGACTAACTAGACTAGACTATAACTAGACTATAGACTAACTATAGACTAGACTATAGACTATATACCTGAGACTATAGACTAGACTAAGACTAGACTATAGACTAGAACTATAGACTAGACTATAGACTAGACTGATAGACTAGACTATAGACTAGACTATAGACTAGACTATAGACCTAGACTAGAGACTAGACTATAGACTAGACTATAGACTAGACTATAGACTAGACTATAGACTAGACTATAGACTAGACTATAGACTAGACTATAGCTAGACTATAGACTAGACTATAGACTAGACTATAGACTATACTATAGACTAGACTATAGACTAGACATAGACTAGACTATAGACTAGACTATAGACTAGACTATAGACTAGACTATAGACTAGACTATAGACTAGACTATAGACTAGACTATAGACTAGACTATAGACTAGACTATAGACTAGACTATAGACTAGACTATAGACTAGACTAGACTAGACTATAGACTAGACTATAGACTAGACTATAGACTAGACTATAGACTAGACTATAGACTAGACTATAGACTAGACTATAGACTAGACTATAGACTAGACTATAGACTAGACTATAGACTAGACTATAGACTAGACTATAGACTAGACTATAGACTAGACTATAGACTAGACTATAGACTAGACTATAGACTAGACTATAGACTAGACTATAGACTAGACTATAGACTAGACTATAGACTAGACTATAGACTAGACTATAGACTAGACTATAGACTAGACTATAGACTAGACTATAGACTAGACTATAGACTAGACTATAGACTAGACTACAGACTAGACTATAGACTAGACTATAGACTAGACTATAGACTAGACTACAGACTAGACTATAGACTAGACTCTAGACTAGACTATAGACTAGACTAGACTATAGACTAGACTATAGACTAGACTATAGACTAGACTATAGACTAGACTATAGACTAGACTATAGACTAGACTATAGACTAGACTATAGACTAGACTATAGACTAGACTATAGACTAGACTATAGACTAGACTATAGACTAGACTATAGACTAGACTATAGACTAGACTATAGACTAGACTATAGACTAGACTATAGACTAGACTATAGACTAGACTATAGACTAGACTATAGACTAGACTATAGACTAGACTATAGACTAGACTATAGAGACTATAGACTACTATAGACTAGACTATAGACTAGACTATAGACTAGACTATAGACTAGACTATAGACTAGACTATAGACTAGACTATAGACTAGACTATAGACTAGACTATAGACTAGACTACTAGACTATAGACTAGACTATAGACTAGACTATAGACTAGACTATAGACTAGACTATAGACTAGACTATAGACTAGACTATAGACTAGACTATAGACTAGACTATAGACTAGACTATAGACTATATATATATAGACTATAGACTAGACTATAGACTAGACTATAGACTAGACTATAGACTAGACTATAGATTAGACTATAGACTATAGACTATAGACTAGACTAGACTAGACTAGACTAGACTTGACTAGACTAGACTAGACTAGACTAGACTAGACTAGACTAGACTAGACTAGACTAGACTAGACTAGACTAGACTAGACTAGACTAGACTAGACTAGACTATAGACTAGACTAGACTAGACTATAGACTAGACTAGACTAGACTAGACTAGACTAGACTAGACTAGACTAGACTGTAGACTAGACTATATACTAGACCAATATCATTTTTATGTGTATACTTTTTCACAATTTCAGACATTTTCAATGCCCCACTTTATATTTTTTATATATTTGGCAATATAAATTTAATAATCCAAAAGTTTTGCCACAAATATTACATCAACTCATTGCTAAATAATTAATTGGCTAAAACCATAAACTCATAAAATGCCGGAAATAAAATTTTAACAAACTATAAGTATTTGTTTTTTATTACATCATAGATTGAAGATATTAATTTAAGCCAATAAAAAATCAACTACCTAAATTTAACCATAAAACCAACTGCAAGACTCAAAACTTTGAACAAAAAAAAACTAAAAAAATTCCAATCAAAAAATAGCACATGAATGAATGATGACAGACGCAGATAGACTGGATGACACTAATACAAATGATTAATGACTGCGAACACAAACGCTTAAACATCGATCACATACTGAGTTCAGAGAAAAAAAACTATTATTTGCAGCATTTAATTTTTAAATTTTATTTTGTTATTTAAATAATTAAAATATTGTTTGAAAACTACAAAACAATTAAGGGAGTTAAGAGGTAAAAGAAAACAATAAACAGTGTTAATTTTAGACGACATCCTACACCTTAAAATGTCGTCTGTTGGCTGTTTTGTTTTGTTTTTATTTCTAATGACAAACCACAAACTGCCATGACGAGGGTAATGATGATGATGATGACGATGACAGTGAGTTAGTTGCTGCTGAGGGTGTTAGTGCAACGCCTAATTATATGCAACAATAAACTAACCAGCAAGCAAAACAAAACTTTTACCTTTTGAATTTCTTGTT